TATCACAGTACGCACATGATAGCGGCAGTGACGACTAAAATTTCGATTTCACCAATTATCGATACTTTTATGTGCGTACAGATCACAAGGAGTGTTGAAATATCAGCGATTCTGTCAGCCTTTTTCTATCGATTTTCACTGGGTAAGCCTCAAAATACTTAACTGTTAAGTGTGTCGAGTTGTGAGTTAGAAGTTGGTACTCGTTGGCTTGTTGTTTTTTTCTAAGTTGAATAGTATCACACTAAATGATTGTTACTCCGAATTTAATTTACATACCTGTACGGGATTACTGAATAATTATTCCTTGACATTTTTACATCACCTGGCATCATAAATTGGTCATAGTGCATTCTGATCAAAAAAGCTAGACATTGCAATGGCTAGTTATTTTGTATAGAATATGAATTATCTGTCCTGATATTTTTTTGGCTGTTCTAAACTATTTAGTTCCCTTGCATTGATAAGACGTAATGTATCTGAATAAAGTTTAGGATATATATATATATATATATATTATATATATATATATATATATATATATAAGTTAACTGTCCTCATCAGTTTGAAACTAACAAAAACAACATTTCGGATTTATTAAAAAAGCGAAATCGTTTTTCTGACAGTTTTATTATTTGTTTTTCTAAAAAAAATACATAGATTATGAAGTTTATAATGTAACTGTAACTAATTAATCACTGAATATAGAACAGATTATTCATTTTGTAAAAACGCATTATTGTATATATTCAAAGCATTTCTGCTACATTGAAAGTTAATGATGCTCTACCAAAAACCAGATTGGTTGAATTACCTTGGCAATAAAATTATGCTTTGAGTGATAAATTAAATTTTTATTACTAATAAAATACTTAGTCACTTTACATTTTACTAAGCTATTTGATTGCATAATTATTTAATATAACTACAAATTGTATTCAGTAGTAGTCTAATTGTAAAATGTTTCTCATGTATGAAATTATAAAACGGTCAATTATATCAGTAAATATTCAGATGATTCGTTCTGAAAATGTATTAAAAATAACGGGATCTGTTTTTTTTACTTAAAGTTTTCCCAGTTTACCTAAAAACTGTCCTAGTCACATTCACAGTATCCACCATTACTGACTCAGTATAAAGACGCAAAATAGTTTAAAAATGAACAATAATGCAGTTGACTCTAACATGAAGAAAGCTATACTATATTTTCATTTATTTCAGATTAGAAATGATAACTATATGTTGCTGATAGGTCAGTCGATAGTCTAGAGTGAAAATAATGAAAGTGATAATCAATCGTATATGAATATTTCCAAATAGGTAGGGAGTTAGGGTTTCGCGTTGATGCATGAAAGCGACTGCATTCAATGGTTAAGGATAAACACCATTGCCGTCTACCATTTCGACGTCGTATCTGGGAATCAATCAGAATGAAGCGCCTCAAAGCTTCTACCATTCACAGTATGCAATAAAGGTTTGCCTACGGAAATTCATGAACAATGGAAAGTTTTCTACGACAGCAATATCACCCGCGACCTACTGCGGATGCGTAACATGTAGTCCAATCAGTTCTGATAAAAGGAAAATTGCACCATAGCAAATATCACATCGCCAATCGATTCTATAATAAAAAAATTGTTTTCGAAAAATATGTACAGTTCAGCGACTAAATGAACGAAAGCATGATCCTTATTACTGACTACGGTAATTTTAGATGGATTTTATCCCTGTTCATTGTGATCAGTCTTTCTTGGAAATAAAAATCCGTTACCCAAGCCAGTGGTCAATATGATGCATTAGCTTGGTAGAGAACACCGAAGGATTTGAAGTCATAGATAAAAGCTTCTGTACGATCGAAATTATTAGAATGCAAACAAATTTATTTGGATAGTCCCAAATGAACAGAATCTTTTGTGTCCGGTGACTTTACTAACAGTTATTTTAAACATACTAAAAAACTATGTTCTTGTTCATAAATGTATAACCGAATTCATCCTGGCTAGCAAGAATTATCTCACAAATATTCACATTCCATCAGTGTATTCAATGATGTTTTATACAGATTCTTAAACTAATGATTAATAAGATAAGATTGATTTATATACTCTGCAACAGGATTTTTATTTTTTTCCAATGAATCACCTGCTGAACATAATATAGAACTTGATATTTATGAACAGATCAGCATAAAGTATCCTGTAATATTTTACTTGTATTTCAAATTAAAATGTGTTTCAGGAAATTGAAATGAATTCTCAATGAATAAAGTAAATTTCAAAACCACTTATGAATGGATTACACTTGATCATTGTGGTGTTTTTTTCATAACCAGTCACTGAAAATAATTCTTTCTACTCATAGTCACCAGTTTAGGCTGTGTTCAGTTGAAAATAATAACAACTTGATAACACAAAATCAAGATTAGTCTATTATATATATAAGCGGCTGATCAAACAATAGTTAAACTGTGATTATCCTCGAAAACAGATTCATTGAAAAAAAATAGTTATAGTGATTTGTTATAATGAAATGAATCCCAAATCACATGTATGTAAGTCATTCATCAATTTATTCAGGCCTCTTATTGAATACAGTCTTTGGTTACGTTTGTATTTCACTAACTAAAGATATAAAATGTAATAGAACGACTCAAAAGTCTTCTTAGTTAACATGAGTTTTTACAAATAACTAACAGCATTGTTGGTTTATTTTTCAGTCATACATACATTTATGAAAGCCTTGTTGAATCTTATCGTTATTGGTTGAGCATTACAACAAAACTAGTGAATCTGCGAAGCTGTTACAGTTGAGTACACTGAACCTTCCATTGGTAAATAATCACGTCAGTGGATGTTCAGCGAAAAGAAAATGACCATCAATATCATTGATTATTATAATTCAGTCACCCTTCAGTTGCATTGTCCAAACTGATTTCTCTGTCTAAATTGTAGGGCTATTCGAAAATTGAGTTTAATTTCGACTTTTAATTTCGATGGATGTCCACGCGATCGATATTTAACGAGTTTTTGAATGCAGATAAGTCTGGCTAAGAGTAAAACTTAGGTTGATCAATTTTTCATTTTTGGTTGTCTGACATAGAGCAAATCAATTCGTGTAAATGAAGGATATGGACTATGACGAAGTTTTGTAGAAGATATGTACGTACATCGCTTCGATAAATTGCTAATGGCTAGCTGGCATTGTCGGTCAACGGTACGTGTTATTCACTATTCAGTTCGTCAATCACTGTCTCACATTTCTACATTAAATAGGCTATAAATCATTGAATTCTATGACTTAATGTGTGTAGGCAGTTTGTAGTTTTCTAGAAAACGACATGATGTGTAATAAAACTAGCAAAGCTGAATATTATTCAAAATTTATTTCAAGCTGCTTTGTTTTTCTAACTATATGTAAGTAGTAAAATTTTCTAACAATTTTCAAATTTTCACAATAAATGACTATTTAGTAAATTTGGAGCCATTCATTATAATGTAAGACGAGATGAAATATTCTAAACTGCGAAAACATAATTTTAGGAATTGTTAACCGATAACAAAGATTAGATTGGAACAAATAGTTATAAGTGTAGTTCATAAGTCAAGAGATATGGAGGCTATGGTCTGGTTCCATAAATCCGAGCAAAAAAGCCGTACAATAGGGTCTGATGGTTTTCAAAATAAATTAGTTCGGCTGAGGTCAACTGGTGATAAAACACATCTCTAAGTTTATAAATATTGCACTTAAACAATGACCACTCTACGCCACATCATTCCAGTTTAAACTACTTGGTATTTTCATGTCAAGTAAATTTGTTTTCACATTACTTTCGTAGATACTTTGTATAGCTTGTGAATGTATATACTTAAAATTGAAGTATGCTAAGTGGCTAAGTCTCTGAAGTACCATCTTTAATTAAAAAAAAAAAAACAACTACTCTACACAATAATCTGACCAGATTTGGAACTGTATTATATTCCTAGGCTATCTATTTCAAAAAGTGGTGCTATACACTTTCTTCACATTTTGGACAGAAGCAACTTTATGGCTGGAATGATTTCGTTATAAAACGGATTCCATTTCTATACCCATGTATATATATATATATATCCATGGAATAGTATATATTGATCGATTGTGTTGCCTAGTAGTAAGAAGATTGTTAGGGCGTAACATTGTAATTTTTTTTTTGTATTGTTTGCTCTCCTTCTAGTTTTCACAATAAACGGATGATATTGCATATTATTATATGGGCGTTTGTTGTAACCAGTAAAATTTTGTGACATTCAAATAGGAGATAGGTTTATTATATAAAAGAATTTTAAGTTAAATAATATATATATAATTATATGAACTCTATGACGTTGCCTTTTCCACTTAAAATTCTTTATTTTTTTTAAAAAAAAAAAACAACATAGCTGAATGACTCATTCATTAAACATTGTAAACATTGTTGTTTGTAAGCAAACAATTTACTTTTAAAAATGATCGCTTCGTATTGTTTTGTGCACTATCAGCAAAGAATTACTCTTTCTTTCAATGTGATGATGGTATTTACCATAAGCAGTATATTTTAATTTTGCAATTAAACAGCGGAATAGATTGTAAAAAGAAAAAGAAAAAAAACAACACTTTAAAAGAGAAAAAAAGGCAGTGATTCTCGACGAAAGAAAAAAAAAAATAATACACATTACTTGTTACTAAAAAAATGTGGCTTTATACAAGTAGAAAAAAATCGGACTAAATCGTACAGGAAACAGTTGACAACAGGCAACAAACAGTTTCATCTAGCTGGGGCAAACAAACACATACTGATTTAAACGCATTTTGAAAAGTGCTACATCAGAGTTACACAGAGATAATGTGCTAAAAACAAGGAAAGAAAAATAATAGACAGTTGAATCGAGAGAATGACAGAAATGGCCAACAGAGTGAATGAAAATAACGGAACATAGAAATGAAAGAGATAACATTGTGACTGACAATGTGGTAATATAATGCAACTCAAATATTGAATGAGTTAAGCATAGTTTCGCAAATGTGAATGATATTATATGCATAAATAATATACACATGTTTGCATTAGTTTATCTATCACAAGTGATAATTACTACTCTATATATATCTGATCTAAATAAGCAAGCAGGTGGTGAAATTTGAAGAAAGTAAAAGATAATAAATAATTTTCATTGTCAATCAATGGTCGATAAGAGAGAAAAGAAATGATTGTGTTTTGGGGAAAGATTTAGTAGTAGTAGTAGTTTTCTCTTAACACCTCTACTTCTAATAACTCGTGTATTTGATATTTCTGCTATGTTCTATTTGTGTAAAATGTAAGAAAGATCTGGACGTCAGTCAATTCTTCGCAAAGCTGACAGACAATCAACTAATTGGTATCTAATAATGAAAATTATTGTAAGAAATTATAGGAAACTCAAATTTTATCACAGCTGTACAAAAATTCTTTAATGGATATTATTATTTGTAAAGATGACAGCGATGACAATAGTGACAGTTACAACAACAACAACAACAACAATAGTACTGATCACTTACATAAAATATCATGTTGATATGTGGCCTATACGTGAAGTGTGTAAATATATATTTGGACAAATTTTGAAACGTAGTGCTAAAAAAAAAACTAATAAAGAAGAAAAATCGAATCAAGTTAAGTGGAAAATTCAGCAGGTGGTGGTAGTAAAAATTCCGAATTAGTCGGAGAACCTCCTCTAATGGATAATTTTGATTCATTTCTCATTGGTGTTCTTGTGAATGTAGCATTTATTGCGCCTGTGGTTGTTGTTATTGTTGGTGATGATGACGATGATGATGTTGTTTGCATGGTGGATGTTGTTGGCTCGTTATCCGATAGATAACTTATACTTTTTTTTCTTGTCTCCGGGTTCAATGATACCGGTCGTCTAATAAGATGTGACGGTTTACCTGTGAGAATAGATAAATTCTGATGATCCGGTGTAAAATAGGATCGTACTAAAGGTGGTTGTTTTGATGCGGTTTTACGCATCACACTCGTTGGATAATCACTACTGAAATGTTTATGCAATCTTTCATCAACTATGTGTAAATCATTATTCTGTTGTTTACAAATTTGTGAATGTGAAGAGTTGTGTGATTCACTTGAACCAACACGTTGAAATCTTGGATGACGAGGAAAGTACAACGAATTTATCATGGAACTATTAAATTTATCCTGACAAACCTGTGAAAAATAAATAGAAAGAAAAAATGAATATCTTAAATGTTCAGAGTTTTTATTTAATGAAAATTATATGAGACCATTCAGAGGAACTTGAAAATTCGAACTTTTTGAGACACATATTTAATACGATTGAAATTGATGTTTCCTTTGGGGTTCTAAAATTCATTAGATAATGTGCGTTTTCATTTCGTTAAACCTTGATTTCAGAATAAAAACGAAGTTCACTTCAAAGAATCTTCATGAACATGTGCACATTTGTAGTTCTTGTTTATTGGACAAACTATTAACATTTAATCAAGCTAGTAATCATAAACAAATGACAAAAACTAACGAGCAGAATTTTATAATCAATTTCGCGAGAGATTTGAGTAGGCTTTAATTCATGAGGAACCACACTTTGGCAAGATTTATCTTAGTCATAACTACTGTTTAAAAAAATGATGCTTTCTCTCTGACATGATTCACTGTAACAATCTAAAAATATTCGTTTATTTATCTTATATCGAATCACTTGTTTATTCTATCTATGCCCATAGTTTTATGTAGCATTTTGAAATGTCACTAATTTCCTGTGATACTCAACTATTTTAATCGTCGTAGACAAATAGGTTGTATTTTATCCGCGGATAATTCACGATTAGACCAATCAGTTGCCTTGAAGGTCTAGAATGAATTTCATCTAGTCTAGATAGAAGCAACATTTCGTAAAAATAGTTTTAAACTCATCTTTGTTTACTTCAAAACATATGATCTGATAGACTGAAGCATGCTTGGATGGAGCTACTTCACTGAAAATTTTAGTATATTTGAAGAATTCATAGATTACAAAATACTAATGTCAACGAAAGAGGCTTCTAGTGACTTTCTATTCCATTTGCTAAATCATCTGACGACGATCTATCTACTTTGGTATAGCGGACATAACACAACCTAGTTTTTCATTATAGATGACAGTAAAATAAACAGTAAAAATAAAAATCATATCGAAAAGTTCAACTTCATTGTCAACATTACGAACTAACTGACTGAATGATAGTTTGATATTTTGTCTTTTTTCTTACGAACTATCATTTAGATTGTGCATCAACTCGCTGTTTAGTATGGAAATATTTTTTAATAAAGATCATTGAATGAAGAAAGTCGTCATAAATAATGTTATGCACGTCAATTGATATGTTTGAACTATTACGAGTTCACCTTAGTCGGTAAGAAAGAGCGAAGATAAATGATCCAGTGACACGATAGACTGCTCTAATCAGAGCGTCCCAAGGTTCCACTAAGTAGAAGAAGAAGTCTTGATGTGGAGTAGAAAGTGTATTCTACAAGCACCCAGAAAATATGAAAGGTTTTCAAGCACACAATTCGAGTTTATTTATACATGATAGAAACGTCCTTGGGAGAGCCACAGAAACAGTACTAAAATAACACATCAACCAACGACAGTCAGGGGTTTCCGGGTGGGAAATGTAATATCAAGGTCAGCTGATTAGCACATACACGAAAACATAAGATCCGAAATTAGGACCTTTATCAAATGAGTTTTGAGAATCTAACGTTCCCAACAAAATAAGTCAGTATTTGTGAGGTGAACCTTCATCGTGGATTGGGATCAACTGGAAAACCACTGAAATCCAGAGAACATTGAGTGATCTCTAATCAGTATTGCATTTCAAACAGAAAGCCAAAATGTTTTCTGAGTTAAGAGGACAAAGATGTCTTAAAAGCAATAGTGACGTTGTCCTATTGAAATCAGAAATGTTTCTTTTTTGTCTTATTTTTTCCCTAATAAACAAATTATCCAAGGAAACACGATTGGTTATAGTCATATGAAAAAAATATAATTATTTATTTACATGCATGCCTATAAGAACATACAAACGTTTATCAACTTATCTTGAAAGAGAATACCAATTTATAATTAATGACTATAAAAAAAAGCAGTAACGTAATATTATTTTTTTTTAAGAATAACATTTTTATTACTGTTTTACATACTTCAGAAATAGCAGTGGTTGTTTGTGATCGTGGCAATCCTTGAAATCGTACCCTATGAGTTTGGGCATCAAATGTTTGATTATTAGTTGACATATAAGGTTGTTGTGTGGAATTCAAATTTGTAGTAAGTCGACTACTTGAAGAACTACGTCCAGATACATTTGCACTAGTACAGAGTGATTGACAATATATACCTTCATCTTTTAGAAAACAGTTCAGTATGTCAAATAGGAATAAGAATAAAAGTAATAGTTAAAGATCGCAATTATTCATTTTATTCAGTCAATCAAAAATTTGATACTTTTTAATGACTAGCCAGTTAGGGATAAACAATTAATTGATTAGCATAAATTTTTATCATTAACGGTTACCATAGCAAACAGTTAGAGAATACTGCTGTGAAAGGTGAAAAAATGGTAGGCGATACTATTGATCTTAGTGAAAAAATCAAACATAGGTGGGATTTCGGAAGGTTCAGGTAGAATGACTGTAGAGAGTGGCATGTTTAAAATTTCAAGTAAAGAAAGTAATTAAGCCATCTAGGAAAATGTTACTGATTTCATAATTTTCAGTCGTAGGTTTTAGTTGTTGTATGACCCTAATGAAGGAATTTTCATCTTTTGATACGACAGTGAGAACTAGCACTATGCTTGACCTATCTACTCTCTAACTGTTTCTGAAAAATTCACTATAGAAACTATGAACGAGTAACGTTTGTCAAAGTACGTAAGCCGGTGAAGTCTCGAGGCTGAGTCAATTGATTAAACAACTTTACCTGGTACTTTGCGTGTAACCTCAGTATTACTCGGTCAGTGCCTGAGCCTTATGCAGGAAATACTACGAAGATCTTTATTACGACCAATTATCATGCTTTATAGCTGTAATAAAACACAGTATGAACTACTGACCACTTTAGATATCTTTTAACAAGACAGACAGACATATAGGCTAACGTACAAGAAATCGAATTAGCCGTTTCAAATTTGTTGAGATTTCAGCTTTTAACCTGTTAAGGGTAACGTAAATTGTCAGTAAGGCTTAGAAAATATTTGATTACTTTCTATTAGTAACTGGACAAATACAGATATGTCCTAGCCCAAACGCTTTAGGTGAAGTTAAATTATGAATGATAAAATAATCATAATTTTCTTGGTGATATCCTAATAAGTAGAAATTTTCATTTCTGATGTTTCATGACTTTATGAGAGTCACTTTCCAGCCAATTCTCTATTTCTATTGAAATTATCAAGTCAACCTTGATAATAATAAAATTGCTTCGGTTTAATAGCGATCAATTCACTGGTTCGCCTTCGTGCGATTAGCATTTATAATTATCAGTAGAATTTTGATTCACTGTAACCGTAGTTCTTCAGAATAGCATCTTAGCTGACTAAATTTGAATTACAAAATAAACTGCTTAAGACTTCGTATGTATCCGTTTTAGTGTTAGTGTTGCAATTGGATCTCCATCTGCCGTGTAATTGGTTTATAGTATACACAAGAACTGCCTTGTCACCTATTGAGCTAACGAATGAAAATGTTAGCTGTGTTACGCTTCATTTGTAAAGTTGTGTTCTGAGCAACTGAAAGTGGTTAGGTGATTCAGCGAAATTCCATCATGCATTGGTCACAGCAATAAGCAAAGTAAATCATAGAATCCTCATTGTATTTTCTTCTCAAATAATAAAATATCGAATTCAATGTTAGCCTAAATTTATACCAATGCTTTTCCATGAATCTCTGTTGTTATCTCCATAGATCTCGTTAGTGGCTTCATTTTGTTCTGTTACCGTGGATAGTTTAAGTTTTTACTGAATGTCAGTATGCTATAACATATCTAAAGTTTGACTGTGGATATCCCTAGTGTGGAATAACGTGTATGAGTAGGTTATTTTTAACGATTTGGTTTAATATGAATCCTAGATACTTTCTTCGTGTTTACTATGATACCATCTAACATTTCTGCACTATTTATCGCTCGTTTGAGAGCTTTTCACTACTTTCCCTCTAATGTCAAGATGTCACACTAGATTCACACCTACTAACAGTTAGATAACAAGGATTTTCAAAAAGCAAATATCAAATATTATTGATTTATATCATTTTTTGCCTACCTGTTAAACAAGAATTCTCGTTCAATGACGATTTATGTGTTCTGTCAGAACTTCTCTCGGAAGAAATTGGTGAAATAGTTGTATGTCTAGCTAGCTTTGTACTTCTCACTGTTTGGTTACATTTAGTAGATGGTGTAGGTAATAATACTCTATTGATTAAATTTATCGAATTGCCATCACTGCATCTTTTCGTAATCACATAATGCTCAATACAACCGTCGCCATCATTGTCCTCATTAGCACGATGAATGTTGGCATTATTATTGACCGGTACAGAAGGCGTTGTACATTTCGGTGAAAGTAATGTTAGTGAGACTTTGTCACCAGATGAACTGGACAATAAATCAACCACTTGATTTAAAGATGCCTTTGTAACATCTACACCATTGATCTAATGAAATCAAATGAAAGAAAATCAATTAATATTTCAATGATTAGAATTCGTTTTAAGCCTTCTACAATTATGCTTTTGCAGGTAATTAGAATTTTGAATGAGTCAGTTGTACCTCATTGATAAACACCTTCGATTGTTAATATTGAGGTGATTATTCTAACTGAAGCAGTAAAGTAAAGAGTATCATGTTTAGAATAGAATGTTTGAGTATATCATGCTATTTAAAGACAGTTATTGTCAAAAATTGACTTTAACCTGAAACTTAAGTGTGTCAGACTGTATGATGAAACGAACGGTCGTGAGTACACACTGATTAAAAAGGACAGCTTAGGAGAAAACAGCAATTGATATCATAGACTAGTTGTGAAGTTTCCACACCACGTTCACTAAAATATATCTTATATATATTTCAAAGTCTATGGACTGTAGTAGGTGAAAAATATATCATCTAAACTATTAGTTTTCTTTTTACCGCAGTGTTTTACCTAATTCAATCACATTGACTGTATGACCTATGAGGTTTGTTTCTGGAGAACTGACGTGAACAGGAATACTCTCTGATTTTTTCATGTCTCTATTTTTTATCATTGTAAGTCCTTAAGATACCCACACTATAAATTGTAGCGGCTTATAATAAAACAATTACATAAGTGTTGTATCAGCTAATTTCATATTTACATCCTATATTACTGTTTATTAGTCTTTCAGCTTAAATGACTGAACAAGTGCCTGATACGGTTTAATCGCAAAGCATAGAATTATAAAACTACCCCAACACATTTGATTTGTTGATTTTTTTTTAAATGATAAAAAGTTAAATGGTCGATTTTTTGTAAAAAAAAAATTGAAAATATTTTGCCAGTTACTTGATGTAGTAAAAAAAAAAACAAGATTTGGGCAACCAGTTCAGTTTATTATGAGAACCATGGTAACAGAAACACCCATTATCTCTGATTACTGAGTCATAACTCATTAAATGTTCAATGTTTTATATGAATGGTAATTTAAACAACCTCAGTAAGTGATGTATATATGACTGAGATAGAAATCACTAAGACACCAGTTCATACTACTATTATTTTACATAGTAACATATGAATCTGATTAAACAATCGTATTTTTCACATGACTAAAATAATTTGTTGGCTTTTTTAATTAAGGATTTATTAAGTTGTGTTTTGGCAGTTACGAGGAGAACAATTAATTATTCTTAACTAAGTTCTGTATGCCAGTTAACCAAATGTAAATTGCCTTAAAGTTTCATTAAAAAGTTAAACGTTTGGGAAAATTTTTATGTCTCCGCTTTTTAATTCATCTAACGAAAAAAAATGACTGATTTAAAGTGATATTTTCTACTCAAATTAGTAGATAACACCTCGTTTTTTTTCTGACTAATCTAACAGATTGACGTATTGGCATCAAAGGAGATTGGTTGTGAACACTTCTAACAAAACCTTTTCCTTGTAATATAACAGTCAATCCTGTGGTGAACTGTGCAATGTAGTAGTAGTAGTAGTAGTAGTAGTAGTAGAGTCACAGAAAAATATTTCCAAGATAGTTAAATCGAAAACGATGCCAAGCAACATCGACGACTTTGACCGACATTCGCTCATTTCAATCAGTTCATGATGACATGTTATTTCCATCCAATCAGCAGTATATGCTATTTCTGTCTTAGTTATATTCATAGATTAGTATTTGGTTCATATCGATTTCCGTATTTTTACTATGTTCAGGTCTTCCTATGATTGTTATTTACTGAACTTATCAGTCTCATTTCGGTTTCTTAACATACTACTTATAAATACTGTTGTACACAATTTTCATCTGAACAAAAGATTAGTACACAAGTAGTTTACCAGGAGTACTAATGAGATTAATTTGAGTTCCGTTCAAAACGTCAACCGATCAATGTTAGACCACAGTTGGAAACCTAAATGTACGGCGGTTTCGTCCTTGCAGGGGGCTCACCAACTGTGCGAACCCATGGTCTCCGGTCTTAAAAGTGAACTGTTTGTCTTCGACAGTACAGAGCTAGAATGTTTTTAACTAAGTGTAATACGTCAAAGACAGCCGTCACTACTGACTTCCATTACCTGAGTAACAATAACAGTTAATGAGAAATTAAAAACTCTCTGTTTCTAATTTGAGACTTCGCACTGGTGTTCACTCACAAAGATTCTGGCAGTTTTACCCATTATGATCGTATTGTAAAGGAATACTGTTGTCGTGTTTAAAGTCATGACAAAACAATAACTAATTCTATATTGGTTTTCACTGATTATTCAGTTGAAACTAGTTAGTATTGAATACTCTGTTTACTCTGGACGCATCTTCACAGCTCATCTGAAAAGATGTGAGGGCCTGTTTATTGATTTTTCTTTTATTCACTTAACGAGAAAGATGAAATAGTTAAAGATGTCAGTAAATAATTTTTAATTGAGTCCGTTTACTAATAAATTCAATGGCACATAAAAGTATAGATAAATAATATAACGGTCAATATAATAAACCATTATAACTAGTGTCTGATGTGGGTATATGAAGAAAGATGAAAACCAGTTCATAATAGTCATAAAATTATATTACATATATTTGCACACAGAATTGCGAAATTTACGTAGTACACATTTATGACTATCATGAGCTATCAACCATTGTTAGACCACCATTAGAAACCTGGAAGCACTAGACGGCCGTTTCGTCTTGGTATGGGACTCATCAGCAATGCGCATCCACGAATCCTGCACGTCGCAGGATTCGAACCCGGCATCTTCGGCACTGTGAGCGAACGCCTAGTCGTCGAACCACTGGGCCGACATCCAAAGGTTTAATGTCTAATTCTGATTGATCTAGTGGTCCGATGGTTAGGCGTTCGCGCACAGTGCGGAAGGTGCCGGGTTCGAATCCTGCGAGGTGCAGGAGTCGTGGATGCGCACTTCTGATGAGTCCCATACCAAGACGAAACGGCCGTCTAGTGCTTCAAGGTTCCTAATGGTGGTCTAACAATGACTGATTGATGGTTTCAATTGTGTAAAAACATAAATCTCCAAAAACTCTAACTGAAAATGTCATGAACTAGTTTACATCCTCCTTTAGACACCCACATCAGACACCTCACATTATTAGGATGTTTGTGACAGATGATGCACGAATTGTCTTTTCAAATTAATTACCCAACTTATTTTCACTTGCATTTCTCAAGTCAACTTGATAATCTTTGTTTCAGAAAATATAGGTCATTAATTTTCTAAACTATTTGTAATTTACCAAATATCTAGCAAAGCTTTCCATAACAATTAAAATGTCTATTTTCTGGTCAGTTAACAACAAAACTACACTTTTAGCAAAACTTTGCAGCTTTTCATCAATTGTCTGCTTTCTTTTTCATTTCTTAACAATAAAAGGAAGTTACCGGTTTTTTTTCAGTAAAAATAATATTTTGGTTTCCATCAATTTATGAAAGTTTTCACTCATTCCATGTGCCACATTTTTGGAAACATTTTCCTGTCAGCAAATTTTATTGAATATCAAGATTCAAACTTGAAGCGAAATTGGGCTATACGACTATATCGAACGATGTTGTATTAAAGATTGGCTAAAGAAATACCACATCATAAATGCTAACTACACAGATAACTGTCTGATTATACAATTGTATGTCCACAAGCGCCATCATGGTTTTATATTCAAATGTATTCTTTGTTTTCTCAAAAGTCAGTTCAATTTTCGTAAGATAGGTGGATTCTTCGGATACGTTCAAAGATACACATTTTTATGCATAATGTGATGATAGGTGAAAAGCGTTAATTATCCCATTTCATTGTTTAAAGAAGAACACAATCATTGGGTTTTATGCTACAGAACTTACTTTTAGGACGAAATCGCCAACTTTGACACCTGCTTTGTCAGCTGGACTATCTTGTATAACACGTTTAACAGTCTGTAAACTTGGCTTATTTGTTGTCGGTGTGAATTCAGCTATTACTGATGAATCTGTAAAGTGTAAGATCAAAAGACAATTCATAATATTTTATTATTTTTTTTAAATTCAAATATGTAAAGTTTATTTAGATGGAAGAAATGTAAAGTGTTGAAAGCGATTTCTTTAATAACAAAACACTTGTTCAACAAATGGAAATTTGTTGTTATTTTTCCTAAATGTTTTGTCATTAACGGAAATCTTCGAATGTGATAATTATTAATCGCCTCTATCCTTTTCGATATTATTTTGATTGCAGTTATTTCGGTTAAACAGTGAAGTCAGGACTTATCGATAGCCATTTTATGAACATATTTTCTATGATGAATTACTCTAGAATTCAAGTTAAATCATATCGTTTTAATCATAATCTTAGATCATTATCTAAAATAGTTTGAATGAGATTCCAGTTGATTTTATGGTGAGTAATGTATAAAACTAAAGACAAGTAAGACTTGAATTGGTGGCTCATAAAGTATGTTATTTATAGAATTGCGCTTACTTCAGTCAATGATTTTGCTGCTTAATATGTATTTAGAAAAAAATAGCTTCATTAATCGCTTTTTGTCCTAATAGTTACTTAGCTAATCCTTTAAATTTCAGTCCGAACTAAACTGGATCATATAAAGATGGCTGTTAGTTATTTTATAACTAATTGTAGTTATGTCATAACTAACCAATCAAGTTGTGGTTTAAGCGCCCACCACGTGATCCGATCTGACGTGTCTGTAAACCTTCCTCGTTGTAAATGACCTACAAATTGATTGACATTATCATCTTATCGTATTGATGTGACTCATGACTTTACTCATTTCCATAAGACACGCTATATTTGTCGAAACAGATAAAGTTTAAAGCGAAGTTGATCTTGTTGTAACTGTAGCTTTCCCATAGACTCTGTGCTCGCCAATATTGCGTTTATAGTTCTAGAAGTTCATCTGTAGGACAAATTAAATCCTACAATGGTCACTGACTGACTTGCTAGCATATAAATCTCAGTCTAGAAGTTTAATGTGGTAGTTAGTTCCCAGTTCATGTAAAAATGTACTTTGTTCAACTTCATTCATCAGTCTTTACTTCAAAAATACACTTAAACTAAATAAATAAAGGAGTATAAAAGAAGTTTTTTTCTGCAGTTGAACGAAGTCGTATATTTCAAAAAAAAAAAAATACTGAAATACAAACTAAAAACAGCTTTATTAACTACACCAATCAATGATCATATATTTAGATGAATCAAAACATGATAACCAACATATGGTGATTGATAAGATGGTGTTAACGGTTTGAACTCCTTGAATAATCGAGTTACACTGAAACAGATATTAAATTATTTGCTTCAAAGTTTGAAGTTTGTTTGTCCATTCTCATGGTTGTTTTAATTTACCATACTTAAGTTTCCTCCTCTTATGGATTTTAATCTAACATTCAACCATAATCTGAAAAGAAAAATTTTAACTCTCTTCGTAAAAATATTTTTTTGACAATAATTATTATACATACTTTCCTTTTTTTCCAGCTTAGGCAAATTTACACACCTAACAAACTTTTACTTAGTACATTGTATGCATCAAGTTCTGGGAGAGTTTAATTAGACTACATTTTTACAATTGAAAAGTATCTGGAACTCCAAACAACTGTCAGCAAAAACCAAAATCAGGATTTTCAATACAAATGTCAAGACAGTTCTACTGTATGGAGCGGAAACTTGGAGAACCACCAAAGCCATCATCCAGAAGATACTAGTGTTTATCAACAGTTGTCTACGCAAAATACTTCGTACTGTGGAAGAGAACAAACCAGATTCCAGTGGAGGAGGAAATCAGGAAGAATCTGTGAAAGTGGATAGGACAGACTGCGAAAAGCACCTAACTGCGTCAAAAGACATGCCCTCACATGGTACACTCAAGGTCAAAGGAAGTGAGGAAGGTCAAGGAACACATTACGCCGAGAAATGGACAGAACTGGAAACGTAGGCCTAGGACAGAGTAGGTTGTAGAAAACTGGTGGGCAGCCTATGCTTTATTGAGGTAACAGGCGAAAGTAAAGTAAAAGTAACTAACATTCAAACATGTATGCTGTTAACGTTTTTCGTAAACCCATCTAAGGGACTTGAAGTTTTAATAAAACGCAGTGAATACTAGACCCGACATTGGTAAGTACGTATTTCAACAGGATTATTTGTGAAAAATATTTATTCAGTCATTTGGTGATGAGACCATGTAGCTGAAATTATTTAATGATATTCAAGATTCTGCAAAATACTTATAGGAGTATATAGTATAGTAGTAGTATAGTAGTATAGTAGTATGGAGAATAACTGAATTTTAATTCATAATAAAAAATAAAAACGTGTCTGTAAGTGTAAATGTTTAAGCATAATCTAGTGTCAATTCACATTGACATAAATTTGCTCAAACACACAGTCACGATTAACCACTAGACTGTAAATTATTGTAAAACTGATATATTGGTAGCACTAAGCAAACTCTATGGCAAAAAGTGCGTATAAATTCATTGGCAATTATTTCAAATGTTCATCTTACTGAGCTTTTAAAAGAAAGATTTATGTGCACTTCCCTTCAGCTCAGCCTAAGCTCTTTGATCTTACAATGTTTTGTGTTTGTACCGTCTTTATTAGGATAAATTAGAAGAAAAAAAACTATGATTTCTATTCACATTACATAATCACTTAAGTTTATTGTTTCCGCCCTCTGGATCTCGTTTGTGAATTACAATTTCTAGGATGATTTATGTGACCAAAACTAATATTATGCAGAGTTTTAGTTAGGATGAGGCTTGATTTTGTATGCAGTAATTCATACATAATTCAAAGCAAAAGCAAATTGATTCCAGTGATCACATGAATCGGACAGCTTTGAGAATGTTTATGCCATTCCATATAGGCTGTTCAGTAGGTTTTGTGAACTTTTTTGTGTTCAATGTTTTTTGTGTGATTGTTCTTCAATTAGGTTTTGTTTACTTTTTAAATTATAACAAAAACAAAGATGTTTTTTTGTTTGTTAAAAATCAATTGTTATCATTAAAATATGATATAAGTAAGTAGACATTTAAAATATGGAATGTAATTTCTTGTCTTATCAATTATTTATCAGCAAATGAACTCAGATTAATTTACAAGTAACACATTCAAAATAACAGAATACAAAATTAGAGCTTTTTAAACTTTATCTTCTTTAAGTATTTTTTATGCCAATGCTTATTGAATATTGCAGAGTTCTGCAAGTTATCGATTTTGTAAACTGATTGACGGCTGTTAGATAGACATTATTTTTTATGTGAATGTTTATGTTGATTATATTCTATCTGATATTATTATTATTATTATTATTGTGTGCAGTGGTCTAAACAGATCATTTTTGCAACATCACAGAAATGCTGAGAATATTTGAAATTATCAACTTTACTGTTCAGATAGTAGAAACAATTATTTTATTGTCATTTAATGCTAATAAAATATGTACACAACATTTTTAAAACTAACCGACTTCTTAATTTAGACATTAAAAGGTTAGGATACTATTTATATAGCTATTTTGATGATTATAACGACATTCTGCTCATTAACTATAAGCATTCATTCATTGATTAACAACAAATGATATTAAATAAGTTATAAAAAATAAAATGAACTCTTGTGAAAGTAATTAATGAAACTTTTTTTTTTAAAAAAACATTCATTTCATTTGATAGCTGATATGCTTGTAGTTATTCTTAAAAATTTTACTGAATTGATGTAAAGTAATATATATATATATATATATATATAAATTTTGCATTTCAAAAAAAAATCATAACAAACTATCCTTGATAACTTACTTTTAACTGTACGAATTGATAAACCGAATGAAGAACGTTCATTTTTATCTAAACCATTCGATGAATAGGCATATCGTTCTAAAATTACAGTTCGTATATTATCTTTTGAATTTGTGGTACATTTCAAGTCTAAATGTTCATGTAATGTAGATGATCGTCGTAAATGTCGTGAATCACATACATTGACATGACTGGATTTTATATTATTTGACTGTCGATTCAGTGTATTGATCGAATGTTTATTAACATCATTTGATGAATCTCTTGAAAATTGAATAGACTGATAATTTGTTAAATCTTTTCTATTCCATTGACTGTTGACAATGCATTTCCATTGATTAAAACAAAAAGGAGAAAACAATTTATAAGTAATGAGTAGGAGAATTAAAAACTTACGGATCATAATTATTTACCAGTAATCGATGGTTTTGTAAAGAAGTCAGTTAAATGAAGCATTAAATAATCCTGTCTATTAACGTGACTGCAACCAATACACTCTCCTGAGAAACTGCGAGATATAATGTTAACTAATAGAGTATAATTCTCCCCATTGGATAACTATAACGTTTTATCTGAATAAGTAAGATTAGTAGTAAATATACAGTTCAAAATAGCTTAGTTCCAGCGTAAATGATCCTAACTATAATAGTGTTTTGGTTAGTCTGATAACAGTACTGGAATTTGATAGAAAAACTGCTCACAAGTTGTGTAACTACTACTGAATGTAATCATCTTAAAATGATCACCAAAAAGTCTTTTCATCTGGAGGATTATTTTTTTTTGAGGTTATTGTAATTAAATCAGTCTACAGTAAATTATATATGTTTACTTGATCTCTTTATAATTTCAGATAGTTTATCAAGCTACTGAAATTAAACATTGGTTTGGTAGAGATAACTTCTTGACAAGAAAACAGGTGAAATGCCTTTCATTTAGCGACCGTTTTTATATATAATGTTTTGTATAAAAGAAATGAAACGGTAGTTTAGCGAAATATTAAAAGTTGGCAAACTGCGACAGTAAAATAAACAGACAATGAAGATAAGTTGAACGCTGTTTCATATGACACCAAAACGGATGATATTTCTTAACAAAATGATGTATGCCAATGAAGTGAGATAATAATGTTTTGTGTTGCCGAAATTCCAGGAATATAAATTTTTTACATTGGTTAGACACAATTGAAAGTAATACTATGAATAAAAAATAATGTCTATAAAAACTAGGGAAATTCTTTCAGTGATTCAAACCTATGACTGGTGAGCTCTCAAAAAATGTTGCTTCTTAACAGTGGTGACAAGTAAAATTCAGTTTTATACATATTAAACATTTATCATTCAATCACTAAGTACTATCACATCAGGTAGAGAAAAAAACAATGGAAGTGCTGATCAGTTAAAAGAAAATGTCAAACATGAACTAGTTTGTTGACATGGTCTATGAACGGTTTGGTCGTCTTTTATTTCACATCACTCATCAACGTGTGTGTTATCATTGCAAATATCCTGGCTGCATTTTATCGTTTCAGCAATGTTTTGTGTGAAAAACTCAATGTTGGATAACTAACAAGAAATAATCATCAACTGAAGTAGACCAATTGATTATCTATGATAGAGCTAAGTAGTTTATTGTGGTGGTGGTGGTGGTGTTTGATTCTCTGAGCTGGATGTTTTGGTTGTGGAGCTTTCGTTGTTCTTCTGAACAATAACATCATCAGCACAAACTTCAGATAGAAGTGAAGCATTCGAATTTCTTCACGTTAAGTTAAGTAGTTTATCCTCTAATTAATATCCAATAATTTTTTACCATGGCCTACATGAATTTTCGGGTTGATGAAATGTTTTTTTTTCAGCTTAGATTTTAGTTCATAAGTATGCTTGTTAGTGGCATTCAATCAAAGTAATTTCTTTTTGTCTTTTATAGTGATTGTTTCTCTTTTATTCTACCCATAAATATGGTATACACTACACTATGACCATAGTATTTGTGTTTCCTTTTTTCTTCCGAGCGATTGTTGATTTTTGCGGTGATTGTATTTCTTTCTCTAAGCTTATGCAGCATGCATGAATGTGTTTGCTAAAACTGTTTCAAGGACACTGGGTATGTTGTGATTTTATGTTTTCCACTGCCGAATTCATTGTTTTTTATATACACTTGCACCATAAAATAGTGATGTGTTTTTTTTGGTTTAGGTAATTATATTCTTTTTTTTCTTTTCTCAATAATTATTTTGAAGAACTATTTCATTGTTAAATATTGAATACACAGAACAATACTTGTCAAGCTGGCGGCATCATAAAATTAATGTACTGTTTATTAGAAATTAAGAGTTATGTTCATTAAAGTCAGTTAATTTTAAAACAATAAAAAAGTCAATAACAAGTACACTAATTCAAGCTAGATAACATCATCATTTCATTTCTTTAAGTTTTGATTCATTGTTTAAAACTATTAATCACTTCATATCAATACGTATCATCCGAGGTTAATATATATTTTTTTGAAAGATAATTGATTGAAACTTGAGTTGAACAAGTATCAGAATAGGTGCAACTAAGATTTAACTACAATCTCCTGCACTCTTGGCTATATATTTTTGTATTTTTTTTATATGATTACTTGTGATGAATAAAGCTTCATATGAATGTTTGCTTTTAGAAACCATGATGTTCAATCCCTCTATTAATTATGACTGTTTGTTTTGACATATGAATACACGTCTAACTTGATCATGTTTAAATTCATGTTTGGTGATGCTTTTAATCCGATCACGATTTCCAATTTCATTTCAACTATCCATATCGATCAAATAAAACAAAGTACATCAAACCTGTTTTTTTTTTAATAACTCTACTGCTCCTAATAATTTTAAATTTCTTCTGGTAGATAAGAAGTCTTGAAATAGAATGACTGCATTTTCTTTTCTGGAAAACTGGTTGCTTTTGCATTGTTCAAAGTTATCAATGGACTTAAATGGAAGTAAACAGAGTTTATTCAAGAAACTTTAGAACATAAGGTAGGAAGGAGATCATTGGTTTAATAAGAAATTGTCTTTGAATGAAGATATTTGCAATGATACTATCTATTAATAGATTAATGATTGTAGTACAGAATAATATGGCATTTGCTGACACGATGGAATACATGGCAGTAGGGTATCGATGAGTAGTAACTGTTTGAGAACTTCTTCATATTAATGCTTAAAAGTGACAGACGTTTATTGTGAAAGTGTTTACATGACATTTTAGATTCGGTAAACATGCAGTAATACCTTACACTATCAAAAATACAGTTGGTATACTGATTTGTTGAAACTGTAGAATTTTCATAGTTTAAATTATGAATGGATCTTCACTAGACTACCAGTAAAAACTTGGGTATCTGCTGGCCACTTTACCCTGTTATAGGTTGCTCACTATCGTGAGTTGGTTACAGTCAGACACTAACATCATCGGATGCCAGGGAAGTGTTTTGGAGGTTAAGTATTTGCGCAAGAAACTGAAAGTTCTAGGTTTGACTCCACGCGTAGTTGTGGATGTGCACTGCTGAAGCGGCTGTTCAGGACTTACAATTTTTTAATAGTGGTTTAGCTAAGGTTGTGGCTTAAACTGTGAAAAGTTTATTTCACCACGTTTCTTTTACTAAAGTTCAGTGCATTTTTAGCAACATGGTCAATAATTTAGATGAACATTAAGAAATTTTTTCTGTTTTCTCAATTCAATAATCATCTGCCATTAAGTGTAAAATGGGTGTTTTTAGTTTGAAAAGATGTGAGCTAAGGTGACCTACATTTTTGTTATCATTTAAGTAGTACTCGTTTGAATGTCTATCAACTAGGGGATATGTTTGTTTTTTCGATAAATTATTTTTATTGGCTCGACAAATTCTCCTTGACATTTGAGATCAGACTAATTTGATCATAACTATCATGTGTTTAAGTATGTTCAATCTTCTCAACTTATCAGAATGATAATAATCAATACAACAACTCATATTAACCTCGGAAATAGATTATTTTAATTTAAATAGTATCTGAGACGATAATATGTTAAAAGACCAAATCAACCTAGTTTTGTTCAAAATGTTTGAATGGACTAATTTAAAGAATTCTTGACATTTGAATTTTGTGACGTAGTCTAACCCTGAAAAAGATACACAAGTACTAGGAATGTATATTTTCTTCCTGTGGTTTTGTTTAGAAATGTTATAAATCAGTGAGGAACATTTTTTTTAAAGTTTATTTCGAATTTATTTATTCATAAATCAAGGATGTTATTCATGAAAATTATATTGATATATATATATATATATATATATATATATATATATATATATATGTGACAGATTAAAATCGTTAAAATGAAAAAGAGAGGTTTATTATGAACTGGTAAGACATGCTAATTGTGGTAAATGCTGGTAACTTTGTGAAGTGTTTTGAGAGGAATTGTTTAATGCAAACGTTTTGCTGATATTCTAAGTGAATTTTAATAGCTCAAATTGTTTTTTTTTCATTTACCGTGAATACGAGCAAACAATGTCTTGATAAAAGCAATTATGGAAAATGATATTTAGCCTTAATGAAAGTATTGGATTTTGATTACGACATATGCTCGGATAAATACAACCAAGTATATCACTTGGGAACAAAAATCATTATTATTTATAATTTTGCGTTTAAGTGATTTCCATTTCCGAAATGTCCACATCAATTTTTTTGAACTTAGCAATTACCAAATTATTAGTAATGTCCCTTGTTAGGAAAACAATTTTTCGAAATTTGCTTATACTGTTGTGCGTAGAGTAACTTTTTGCAAAAAGATGAATGCATGAAAACAAACTTAATTGAAAAAAAGCTTTCATTTAAGATACTAAACGTACAAACTCATGTTTTTATAGCAAATGAGTTAAATATATTTCAAAATCTATACAATATTATAAACCAGAATAGCTAGCAAGCAATCATAAATCAAGTGTACTACTACATTTGAATATTGGTAGAATGCATTAATTGAACATTTAATGTTAATTTTTTACTTCTCAGCAACTACTGAAAGTGCGTCAATCAACTAATATCTGTGCTTAAGTCACGTGTAATCAAATACTATCGGAAGACAAGATCGACATTTGAAGGAACTAGATTATGTACAAAAGAAGTTAGAATTTGCTGATGGACAATTTCGATTAGCTGTTGATAACAAATCACAAGTATTAGTTCATCATTTTTTATAGAATTCTTTCACTTGTATTGAATCGTAAACACTTTATACATAGTTTATACACGTCAAGTCATTATAAAGTTTCACTGAAACATTCACGGATGATTCGCTTACACTCATCAAGACAAAGTCAAAGACTAATCGGTCGATTGCGTGAACATAATAATCCTACAATAACCAGGCGACCAATCAGCATGACTGTAGTGTCTTTGAATGTGGCATATATTGATACCTGTTTGACTGTCATGAGGACGTTATCTCTATCAAAGTTTCCGGTGAGTTTGAAAAACTACAAATACTATGCTTAAAATATCATATGGAGTTCCTTTAATGACTTTCTATACACATCCTTAATGGGCCGTTGAATTGTGTTGGTTATTAAGCAAATTAACCGTGGTAGATTTACATGTTAAAATATAGCAATACAAATTTACCTGGAATTTTCGTATGAAGACAAAATCTCATCCTGGTATTTGTTACTTTGATTATGATCAATGTTATTTTTACTACTGTTATTCCTATTCAAAGAACCGAATGAACTTGGTCGACAGGATGAATTACTTATACCACTATCTGTTTGGCTGCCTTCACGTTGGAATCCTTTGTTTTCGCGAGTGATTAAATCGTACAAAATATCTGTCTGTTGACCACGTGATACTGTTCGTTCGTTGGATGCGTTTTTATTTGCAGTCACCGGCATTGTGAGACAGTGCGGTTTTTGAGTTTGCTGTTGTTGTTGTTGTTGTCGTTGACAATGATGATTCTGTGTATAAGCATCCGTTCGAGATTTCGATACGAACATATCTATAAGTTTATAAAGTTGACAAAAGCAGAATATTCAGTTTTTTTTTCTCTTGAAAATATAAAAAAAGCATATTTGCATCATATGTTAATAGGGGGAAAACTGAACATAAATAAAATAAATATTGTTAATTTATTCAACCCGTCTAACAAATAATTGAATATCTCATGACTGTCACTGCTTCATTGCTTTGTTAACCTAGTTTAGGTCACTTAATGTTATGCAGTCACGAACATGTGTGACTCGAATGAAAATTGAGTAGTTGATGGCCTCAAAAAAATTTGCATATAGACGAGATTGTAGTTACCAATGCTTATAGAAACAAATGGAACATTAGTAATACAGCACGTTGTTAGAAGAGCGTGTGATTTGTTAGCTATTTCACGTCCAATATGTGTTTTTCCATAACTTGGTCTAAAGTGATACAATACTCATGTTTGGTTTATCGTTACACATAAGCAGAAATGAATACCAGGGGTCGGTAAGACAAATAATAGCAGTAAGAACAAGTAATTATTCGTCTAGTCGGGTTAATGGTGCACCATAGGAATGAATCAAACAATGGGTTTTTGTTTAACATAAGTTTAACTTAATTAGACACAGACAACGTCTAAATTCAAGTATTTCTCTATGAATGTGTGTTTTTCCGGTTTTAATTTAATCTAACGTATACCAAGGTAGATGAGTGAATTAGTAATTAAGCTTTCGTAGTCATCATGGACTTAGTTTTTTAAGTAGAGCATAGTTATTATAATGAAGAAATAGTTTTATGATAGATAAATATAGTTAGAAAAATAATTTCTTCGATATTCTTTGCACAGCTTATTCAGTCTGAACCTAAAAACTGGATTTTACTGAATTGCGAAAAGACTGACATAAAACAAACGATAGTGAGATTTTGTGATTTAATAATTAATTTTTACTTAAATTACATTCAGTCTAGGAACAATCTCAAATTTAAAGCTAGAGATTTAGTAAAGTACTTCATATATCATGATGAATGCTTCCCTTCTCGTAAAACATCATTCTTCATCTTAACGCTTACAAATAAGCGTATTTTGAATTTACTTTGATTAAACTTCGCAGATGATCTGGCTCTTCTATCGCACACACAACAACAAATACAAGAGAAGATGACCGCAGTAGCTGCGGCCTCAGAAGCAGTAGGTCTCAACATACACAAACGAAAAAGCAAGATTCTTTGATAAGAAAAACCATGAAAAAACCATATCACTCTTCATGAGAATGACTCGGAGGACGCAAAAACTTTTACATAATTGGGCAGCCAAATTGATGAGCAAGGTGTATTTGATGCAGATGTGAAGTCACGGATCGGCAAAGCAAAGGCTGCATTTCTTCAATCGAACAACATCTAGAACTCCAAACAACTGTCAACCAACATCAATGTCAGAATTTTCAACAAAAATGTCAAAACAATTCTACTGTATGGTGCAGAAACTTGGAGAACTACCAAAGCCATCATCCAGAAGATACAAGTATTTATGAACAGTTTTCTACGGAAAATACTTCGGATTCTTTGACAAGACACCATCAACAACAATCTACTGTGGGAGAGAACAAACCAGATTCCAGAGGAGGAGGAAATGGGGAAGAGACGGTGGAAGTGGATAGGACACACTGCGAGAAGCACTCAACTGCGTCACCAGACAAGCTCTTTCTTGGAACCCTCAAAGTAAAAAGAAAAGAGGAAGGCCAAGGAACACATTACGCCGAGAAATACAGAAAGACATGAGAAAAATGAACAAAATTTGGAAAGAACTGGAAAGGGAAGTCCAGGACAGAGTTGGTTGGAGAAAACTGGTCGGCGGCCTATGCCTTATTGGGGGCAACAGGCGTAAGTAGGTAAGTAAAGATTGTCCAAAAATCCTGAATACTAACATTTGAAGCTTCACGTAGTTTGTCTGAAAGTTAAGTGTGGTTCAAAATAACTGTTATAAATCCTAACTGAATGACAGTGCTTCCCCTGTTTTGTGATGACCAGTCGAATAATATATCTATTGACCAAAATATCTCAGTAGTAACTTTTGCGACCGCGAAGAAAAGAAGTACAAGTCTAATTTCCGTAATAAGCATCCATTCTCACAAGACTGTAAGTATTTTCTGTACAGTGTACTCAATGGATAATCAACCAGATTAGTGATCGTATCGCTGGTTTAATTTATTCAAAACCTTTGAATACTGGTGCTCCGGGAGACGTTGATTGCAGTCCAGACAGTTCGAAGATAAAGTCTTTGTTTATGAAAATATGCCACAAAGGTTTAAAAATCCCATGGTACCGTTTCGTTCAACATTTCGGACTTACTGTATAACTGAAAAACTCTGTCATTTGCTTGTGCTTCATAGCAACTCGTAGATGGTTTACAACTATCTGAAACATTAAACTATTATTAGGGCACTAGTTTGTTAGGGCCGAGTTGAATGGGCTCACGGTTAGAGAGAATAAGTTTTGATTGACTGTGCGCATGCTTAAATTCCATCTGCTTCAGGCCAGTTTAGAACTCATCATTGATGCGCACTTATGATAATAATGTGGTTCTGGTCACGCATAAAGCATAATAGCAACTCTGTCTTTTCGTCTATAGTCAATCTTCAAAATGTCATAATTTTACTTACTTCTATTCTTTACACTATAAGAATGTGGCTTTGAATAGATAAAAATGAACTCTTTAATATCTGAATGCATTTCCACAGAGTTATGCTCCCTGTAGTATATGGTTTACTTGCAAAGATTTTATTGTCATTATGGTCAGTATTATCAGTAACTTCAAAAATATATAAAAATGAGCTGTTACATGGTCAAGCTTTCAAAATCGACACCGCCAGATAATCAGATTGCATTACAATATAGTAAAACGATGACTAAATGTCTATGATGCCAAATGTCTGGTAACTACTATTACTGAATTTCAAGCGACTAAGTATGTGAATAAAACTTTAAAGGCTTTCGGTAAAGACATTCTACAATCAATGAACACGTATTAAAAGGTTTTTCTCAAAACTGATTGAGATTAGCTATGGCAATGGATTTTTATCACAGTGCTGCAAACCAGCCGAAGTTAAGAGCTTAAATTTTAAGAGCCCAGTATCTAAACTCAGTAAACTGCTCAAAAACCTGGATGTTCCAGATACAAACCCCAATGTTAACTGATTTGCAGGGTTCTGTGAAGGCTTCACATGTGAAAGAAACATTTTTTTCAGTAATTTTTTATTTACAACGACTCCTAAGCTGACCATATTCATCAGATTGGCTTATTTAGAAAAATTAATATCATCAAAAGAAGCCAATATCAAATCTAATTTCGATTCTGAAATAGACGTTTAACTGATAGCATATTGTACTCTTAATAGAATCGGTAAATCTGTTTACAAGTTAATGTTAAGAGGTCAAAAAAGTGCATTTTTCTGTCTGATTTTATATTTCACAAAAAGATTTTGTTTTTATCAGTATTTTAATTGTCAAAGGTATAATTTATTGTTGTAAAATGAGAATAATTTCAGGATAATGTTTTTATGAAATTACATAAAAATTAAATTTTTAATACACTTTGGGTTAATTTAAACTCATAAATCTTCTGATGAATAATTTAATCAAGATAACTGTAAGGTTCGTCACTAGGAATGCTTGAAACTATAACAGGTTCACCTTAGTCGATAAACGCGAACGAGACAATGAACCAGCGTCCAGGTAGGCTACCTTGATCCGAAATGGGAAAAGAGAAGTCTTGATGTAGCGTAGAAAGTATATTCTAAGAACAACCAGAAAGCACAATGCAATCAAGCACACAAATCTCGTTTATTTATACATCATAGAAACGTCCTTGGGACAGTCACAAAAATAGCACACTTAAATACACAGCATCTAATCACAGCCAAGGATTTTCCTGGTGGGGAATGAAATCTCAGGACTAACTGAGCAGCCCATGCTCGCAAACGTGAAATCCAAAATAAGGCATTTATCAGGTGAGTTCTGGGGATCTAACGTCCCCAACAATAACTGTTTTATAAAGGGAAAACGTTATTTACTAGGTTTTTAGTTACAAATTTTGTATGATTACGTATGATATTACAAGGCTGCTCGGACGTTCAATCTGACATTCGTAAAGTGGATGGTTTTAGCGGCATACCACGTCTTCGTATGAAGAAAAGTTTGACTGACACGAAGACAGATTTTTCGCATAACACGGAAACTTCATGTTAGAAATAACCATTGGATTAAAATAAAAATTCATTGTTACAAGAGCAATCAAGATTTTATGCTCCTTGAAAATATCAGTGAACGTAAAGACCATTTAATCATCATGGACGAAATGAACTTTTATGACGTAGTGGCTGGCAAGAGAATACGTTAGTATTTAAATTTTATTCGGAAAATATTCATTTCAGGACAATCAATTTGGAACAGAACAAAGTTAATAAATAAGATAACAGAATATGGGCAAACTTCATTTTATCTAAACAAGCAAACAAATTGGACATATTACATAGGTGAATGGAAATGACCAACTCGGTTATATTACATAAGGAATGAAAATATAGAAACTACATTTATTAAAGCTAATTAGGCGACAATGATTTATTTAGCAGAAACAATATTAGCACAATTGATAAACCAGTTTATTAAACAAGAATGACTAGAAAATGATTTTCTGAGTCCCACACTAGGTAAGTTTTGATTCTAGGTCAATTTTTCCTGTTAATGATTTCAAATTCAAGAGGTGTTTTTTAATTTTGCCCAAAAATTTATTTGCATTACGGGGTTGTGAAGATTATTAAGTTACACATTTTTGAAATCATGAATCAGTGCAGGAGTCGCGGATGCGCACGGCTGAGGAGTCCCATACCAGGAAGAAACGCCCGTCCAGTACTTCCAGGTTTCTACTGGTGGTCTAACATTGATCGATTCATGGTTTCAAAAATGTGTAAAACTTTATTGTTGTTGTAGCATTTAAACTAATATTTGGTATTTGATGAAAATGGAACTTTAAACACACACAGGAATTTGTCAGAAAAACACAATTTATCATTGTTATGGCTGACCAGGCAAGTACTAAGAAGTAATGTCTATTCTGATAGCTTTTACTTTTGTGGTATTATTATCTGATAAAGACTAGACAAGCAAAGTGCACTACGATAATAAATATACACTAGGTATCGTGATCATTTGATTGCGGATTCGATTGCATGAATGCCCTTTCATTGAAAGAATTTCGGAAAAAAGAAAATCAAATTTGTTTATATTTCATAAATATTAGCATTCATCAGAATTCTTTTATATTTTGATGTAACTAGTTATGCATGTCAGAGATGTGATTAATGATATTTTGTGACAAGAACTTATTGTTCTGTTTAACTGATTGTCTTTGAAGTTACAGAACTACAAGAATTCGAGTCAACCATAAGTTATGTGTACTGCAGTGATTGTCGCGGTTATTTTTACCTAGTAATGTAACTGCCATTCATATGGCAGAGGGGCTAAACACATAAGCTCACAAGGCATTTATCACATCGTTGTCGATAGTTTGTGATATTTTATAAAAAATATCATCGTTATTGATGTCGTTTGAATTTTACTCGAGTTTCTCCTACGTGACATTTGTTTACCTATTTCATCTTTGTATGTACATTGTCGATCTAGTGAAATCTACATGTATGTTATCAGTTTTTCTTGTTCTATAAAAATAAAGTCGACCTTATTGCTTAGTTTTATACTTTGTCCTCAATTGTATTTACCAAATAATTATCTTGATTTGTTTATTCTGTAGAGTTCATTTGTGAAACTAAACATTATGCGACAAACATTACCAAGGCAACAGACATTTTCTAAAAATAAGTCATACAATTGAAGTTGGCCGAGACAACAATGAAGATTGCTATTTCCATAACACATATTTGTAAACAAGATTCACCAAGTTATTTCATTAGAAAATGCCAACGAAAAGCACTGAGCAATGTTACAACAGTTAAAAAAAATCATAGAACTGTTTTATTCCATAAACTGTAGGCGTTTGGCTTTCAGTGCCCTGTGTGTGCAAGTTGGTATGCAACTTCTGTCTGATAAGTAATTAAAAAAAACCTAGGTGTATATTGTTAAGCATGTCCATTGTAACATTTTAAAAAAAACCTTCGTAATCAATTTTATTAAAGTTTGAAAAAATTAAAATATATATAAATTAATAGACTGAAGTTTTTAAAAGAAAAAATTAACTGCTCATTAAATATAGTAGAGTTCAAGGACTAATAGATATAAATCAGTCAGACAAGTTCTTCAAGTCTATCGTTACATAAAATTTGAATTATTCAAATCTTTTGTTTATATAAACTAAGTTTTTTGTCAATTTCGTTTGATAATTCTAATAAATATGGTGAAAATAATTTTCACCAACTAATAGTACGCAGTTGTCAAGCACTGAAGGTATGAAAGTAATGAATAGTCGTTTCCAACGGTTGAGACATATTATAAACTGGCTTATGTTTAATGAGACTCAACATCTGAACAATCTGTGTTTCGTGAATAATTTTAAATCAACATAGAAGCGGTTTTCAAAACTGCCTTATATTCACGAAATCTCTAGCCCAATATTCAGAATACTTGAACAAACGATCAGAAGTGATCGAATGAGAAGACTACTTGATGACCATCAGAATTATCCTAAAGAACGACTACATATCATTCTTCAAGAAGTGGGTGCATTGTTCTTTAAGGTTTTTCCGTTTTTCTATTTATTCAGAGACATACTAACTGAATGTAGTTCACAGTCGGTAAAATTACCGTAAGTTACATATTCAACAAGTAATTAATATGAATTTTCATTTCATGGAATTTAGACAGACTTCGATGGCAGCAGACCAGGTGCCATTACACACACCATTTTAGTGCCAAATGACTCGTTAAAGTTAAAAACTATTTGGCTTATATCTATTGATTACTGTTTGGCACTAAAGTATATAACCTAAGAAAATTTTGTGATAGCTATATATATATATATATATATATATATATATATATATGATTCAGTAGCCAGACTTTCTTTTCTGCTCCTGCCTACTCACTCAAGTTGCCAGCTTTGGCGTCAGTGTATATCACATTCAGATCTCAGGACTAGCACATCATAATAATTTTAATAAAACTCATTGATGATGCCAAGCTGTTTACTTTCAAAACTGAATGAATGGTTGTAAAGTTGTCTGAAAAACTTTCTTCAGTCAACCAGAGATTTTTAAGCACTTTACATTACCGCAAAATTAGTCAGCAGTTTACTGTGATTAATCGTCAAATCTTCGATTTGCAAGTGATAGTTAGTAGAACTTTAAGAAATAATGAAATTTTCTTAGGTTATATACTTTAGTGCCAAACAGTAATCAATAGATATGAGCCATATAGTTTTTAACTTTAACGAGTCATTTGGCACTAAAATGGTGTGTGTAATGGCACCTGGTCTGCTGCCATCGAAGTCTGTCTAAATTCCATGAAATGAAAATTCATATTAATTACTTGTTGAATATGTAACTTACGGTAATTTTACCGACTGTGAACTACATTCAGTTAGTATGTCTCTGAATAAATAGAGAAACGGAAACCCTTAAAAAATGAACCCTCTTCAGTCAGTATGAAACAGGTCACATAACTAAACTTAAACGTGCTACAATTAAAAGTTCATTTTTGGGTGTGCAGATTATACTAAATTCCATCTCTATGAAAACCAAAAGAATAAATTGTTATAACCTGATAAGACAGAATTCATTGAGTTGTTTATTGATTAACTGTTAAAACTACATTCTAACAAACGTCATAATTCTCAACCATAGAATAAATTATTGTCTATTTAGAAAAAAGTACATAAGTTAGTCAAAAAGCATTTCTGTCCTCCAACGTACTAAATAAATACAGCATATATATATATATATATATATATATATATATATATATCTGTAGCAAATTTGTATAATCTGTATTTACCTTTAGACTTTTGTTTCAGTTTTACTGGTCGAGTTAATGTACCAGCTAAATTCATACCATTTTCATATTTAGGCATTTCACAATAAATTTGATTCGATACACCATTGATATCATAACATGGACTGTTGAATCCGCTTTGACGTAAATCCCATGCATCATTCCATTTTGTGGTTGATGCACCAGTTACATCAAATGGATTGGATTGAATTAATTCACATAGTGAAACAGCACGTTGTATCGGTTTGGAATTGATTATTGGTCTAGTCGGTGATGATGATGATGTCGTATATGGACATGTACATGTGGCACTTTTTTCTATGTTATTCAAACCACCGGAATCTTTATTTGAGTCTCGTATAAAATTGTTATTTTTATTGTTACAACTATTTAACTGCTGATCATTGAGTTGGTTTTCATTTATATTAGTTGGAGTATAAATTTGCAAAATCGACGGTTCAGTAATATAAGAATTAGGTGGAGGTTGTCTTACACGTCTATGAGGATTATATGTAGGTGTTGGAAGAAATATATCACCTAAACAAATAGAAATACATGAGCATAACCAATGATTTAAATGAAACATAACTAATTTTAAGTTTATAACATACACAATAAAGAATTAAACGTTTTGTTTAACTAATACCGCGCCTAATTTACAAGTCACTTAATATAAACGGGATGCATGGATGTATTTGGATTACAGAGGTATTGTTCTCATCTAGATCCATTGTTGGTTGTTTGAAACAACCGAACAAATAAATCTTCAAAAAGTCATTCTTTTCAAATAAGCTCATATGATTATGTTGTGGAATAAATTACATCCTTAATATCAGTAGATGAATAGTTCAAGCGAATGTCGTAAAATTCGGAGTTACGTGAACAGCTGGTACTGAATTACATTTATAGATCAATAATAATAATTATTATTATCATCATAAAAATCGATTCCTTTCAACCTTTTGGAGAACGATCAGCTTGATAGATATTACTTAGGTTTTAATGAGTTTCGTCATTTCTAATTTTTTGTCTCAATGTGAAACATTGAGTTGTAGGTTGCAGTCTGAACTCAAAACGAAAGGTTATGCACCTTTGAGATGACTTTTAGTTAAATATTTACTTGTACATGATAATAGTCGATTTTCAAACTAGTACTATAATCACACTCGTGAACATATTGATACATGTGAATGATTATTCGATTTGTAGATATGACTTTTTGAATGAAAATTCTCGTGTTTTGTATCATCAACTGTAGAAACATTGAAATATGACTTTAATGAAAATCATCATGGCTGCCGAAGTCGTTTGTACTAGAATTCCACCTGTTAACTGGTTGTTCAATTCCTTTACAAAGAATGATTAGATCGCCTAAAACACAATAACTAACTTAGATAATGAGTGCATCGAGATAAATACAAAATTTAGAGCAAAACTCAATGGACGTTTGAGATTTTACTAGTGATTATACTAAATATAACCCACACATGAGCGATGATTTTTAAATTTCCCACAAAGTTAAACTAAACTATGTAACATTATTGGTAAATACGAAGTTGGATGAAAGACATTTTGTCAGCATTTGGTTTCTTCAGGCTATGGACGATTGATTCTTCATGTGTCTACAGTAAAAGAATTTAAGATTTTTTCAAATTCTAACTTTCGAAAGTAAAGTTCAGTTCAGTAGACGTAAAGCAATTCAAATCATAGGGCGTAGCCAAATGGTAATGCTATTTTAGAATCAATCGATAATAAATTATACAAACTTACTAGATTCTTTTCTGCCTCTAAATAATTTGATTAATTCAGCTAATTCTAAATTTCCACTATTCTGTGCTACTTGTATCGGTGTCATATTCTCCGCATTCACTATGGTTGGATCAGCTCCCCAAGATAACAGGCGTAGTACAGCTGCACGTTGATTATGATTTGCTGCTACATGTAACGGTGTGTCACCATCAACTGACGACTGTGGACGTACAGCAAGACTGAAGTGATGTTTCACCGCTTCTTTTGGACGTTTACATCGTGCATTCACATCAGCTCCATACATTAACAATAAATTTATTTGTTCAACACGATTTAAACGTGTAGCCTAAATGGATGCAATTGAAATAAGTGTTGAAACAATTTGTTTCAAAATGATTTCAATAAATTCAATATGAACATGATGATTTAAATCTTACTAAGTGTATAAATGTTACAAACATTTCATTCACGACTAAATTATGTAAATTGTTTCGCTTTAGAAAACCGATATAATTTTAATTATAGTCTTTCTGATATTCGTGAAAATGACTTATGACGTAACATAAAATATCAGAATGAACAATTACAAACAAGCTTAACTTTTTGATACAAGTTTTACAATTACAATGTATTTTGGTCTTATGGATTAGTTATCATAGCACTGAATTGCTGTAATTGAAGTGTTGAAAACAAAAACACACACAGACTAATATTAAAAAAACTTGAAAGAAAAACTATTCCACACTTTTTTTCGACATCTCAGTTATTGATCTGGTAGTGATTTGTTTTTGTTTGCAGTTATTTTCACTTATATAAACAAACCTGTCTTCTAATGTTTAATAATTAATCTCACTTTATCTAAGGTAAATCAATCAATTAGCAACACATTGGTGGTAAATTATTTTGATCATTTTAATGGTAAAATTAACTAACTCATCCCCGTTAGACATAAGAATTATTTGGCGCGTTCTGTGAAGGCAAAAAGGGTTTAAATCTGGTTTGATTTATCTTGCCTTTGTTTAGTAGGGTGGCATCTACTTCCGTCCGATAATCTATGTGATTTAAAGCAGATTAACCAGGTAAAATGCAATCATGAAACAGAAATCTTACTTTTTAAATCATTACTCCTAGTGGACTGAGAGATCAACCCTGTTTTAAAGCAACAAGTAACGCCTTATAAACATTGGAATGATTATACTGGGAGAGCTAGGTGTTCACTGAAGTCAGTCAGTTTATCCTTGTCAAATATAAAGGATTTGAAGCTCTCATGTATGTGATGATTATTCAGATGAGATTTTACTTCGTAGATTTATACATCAAATGACATGTAGTTGGCAAAGGATAAAAGAGAAATCCACAAAATAACCAAGAGAGCTTTACGTCTGTCTGTCGTATTGATATTAAATGATAAGTGGCTACGATGTTCCCTGTTTCATCACAGTAATAAATCTGATGGTCAAAAGGAGGTTAATATCGGAATGATTGATCAGAAAATAAATGAAGTAAATTCTCTGACATTAGTCTATTAGCAGACTATCGTTTAACCGTTTACTCAACAAATGTCTTGCGATACCATAGACCCCGTTTTGTATATCTGATTAGTCACTATCCACTTTCATGTAAATATTTCTATATCAAGCAACGGTCTTTATCTAACTAAGTTGTGATTTAGTATAACTGACATATATTTCTTCATTTAAACTATGTATTTTACCTTGATATCTCTTATTTTTTGATGTTAAGTAGCTGACTGACTGACTAAAGGATATCTATAGCGATAAGAAATAACGATAAATATTTAGATTATCAGAGATAACAGTGCATAGTAGTTTAATGTTTTGCTCCATCATTTATCTATCAAGCTAAAATTAGTAAGATGATGATTAAAAACATATCCTTTTCAATGCATTCTTGTTAATGCTAACTATTGAGAAATTATTCAGTCAAGTCAACGACTCTTAAATCAAACATCATGTTAATTTTGAACTCACAAAAAAATGCTTAAACAATGAGAATTAGTTGAAAAGGAATACTGAATTGAATATTTCCACTAATCTCATATCTTTTCATGTTTTTTGTGTTCGAATGTTTATTCTACCTTTATAGCTCGGTTTTTTCAAGTGATGCATTTGTAATTTGTAGTAGTTAGGATAAAGGATAAATTAAATAACTATTTAAGGAGAAACTATTTTCCTTTTCTTCGAAATTGAGACAGTGTACCATTAATTATTATGATGAGACAGTGTATTCCAATCTTTTTTTTTTACTTTTCAAAGTAACACGAAATAAGACACTTGTACAAGTTATTAATCTTATTTAACTTTACCGCTATGCTTTCACCTGTCAAAACTACTTTCACGTGAGGTTGTTTGCAATAGTGTCGAGTAAATACAAACAATCGGATGGTTGGAAAAATGCATTCTTCCGACATTAAGCTGCAAGTTAATAGCCTACCAGATATCTAAATAGTTTCAATGCAGTTTTCACATAAAATGAGCTGAATACTGACCATTAACCAATATTAGTCAATATATAAATTTAAAAGATGAAATAAATAGAGATAAAAATGTTTATTTTACTGAATAAACATTTCCAACTTTTAAATGAGACAATAATAATGTTTGTAATGCTAGTAATGATTGTAGAAAGTTGTCTAATATGTGTATGACTGAATCGTTTTATCTCGAACCCTTGAAAAGCTATGAAATATATCTGTTATTCCAAAAAGCATCTATTTCATATGACCGTGTAATGTGGTTTGTAATACTGACTGATTTTAATATACTATAAAAAATTAGGGACAATGCACGGTTGTTACATTTTGTTACATTACTATTCAGCAGCTTATATTATTTTGCTCATAAGACATTTAAGGGTTAAAAAAATCGTATTAATCAATATTTAACTAAGTAGTACCAATGAATTTGTTATCAGTTGTGTTCACTGTCAGTGTATTCTATTACGTTTAATTTAAGACATTTTAATTTAGTATTCTTCAATGTGTTGAGTTTTTTGTAACTTGAATGAGATCTTAGTATTTATTATGACTGATTGTTAAATAAAAAGACAAAAATGCCATGAATTTCATTATCGGTATCTATCAATAATAACCCCATGATACTTGTCGCGGTTGAACACTGGGTGAAAGATAAAGTCAAACTTATAATTGTTTGATGGATTCTACTGATCACCGTTTTAATGCGGTCACGAGTTTAAGTGGTTCAACCTCACGTGATTCATGTTCAGATGTAACTTGGTGGTTATAGACAGTCAACAGGAAACTCACAACCTATGGTTCGTGTTCGTCAGTAAAGCGTACCTGAAATCCTGAGGGAGCTGATGCTCCTTTAAGGATCCGATCCTAGTTGACGAGTGTCAAAATCAGGGTGTCCTACTAATTGCCTTCTACCGCCTACAGATAACTCAACAGATTGAATGCTATATGGAGTCATTTAAACTGGCGACCACATTACAACTAAACTGGTAGAGTTTGACTGGGACTAAGAATGACTTTACTTTCAAAACACTGGTCACTATTTGATCACTGATGTATCCTGAATACCCCCTTGTCCTAAAGAAGGTCAGTTACAACCCTAATGGCTCAATGATGAGGTTTCTGATATTATAGCTAGCTATATGACACAAAAATTAATCTGAAAAAGATATTAGTTCACTCTACATTACATGTACACCTTGACTTTTAGTGCCAAACAATGCGAAACCCTAGGTTCATTGTCTACAGTCGATTGCTTTAAACCACCCAGCTGTAAATAAATTCGCATAAAGCTTAGCTACATGTATAGTTCGAACTAATAAAGTAACCATTAATTTATATTTGTTATTCCAGAAAGACAAAGGTAAAGTGATTGTAAACTTTAAAATTCGTTCCGCAAATGTTAGTGCCAATTAAAGTTGCTTACAACTATAGGCTTAAAAGAAGACGTATTCTGGTATAAAAATTTGAATCAATTGTCATAGCACACGAGACAATGTTCATGAGTTATTCAAAGATAGTGTAAGTGACCGCAAGAATTCATGTCTTGTATTGACAATTTTATTCCATCATTTAAGATTTTGAATACAAAAAACTGGTCTTCTGGTGAACTTGACTTAAACACTGCGCTAGTGCCCTTTGTAACTGGTACATTTCATAGCTTCGTACTAAAGTAACTTTGTGATCTTTAGCAGAATATGAAAGTCTCTTTACATGACAATCGTGTGATACAAATCTATCCTCTTCCTTATGATCATATTATGTAAATTTGTAACAACAGAAACTTATTTCACAAATAAACCAGTGTTGTACACTTTCAAATAGTATGAAATAAATTGTCAATTGGTTTTAGATAGAAAAACAATGAAATAGTGTGAATGAAATCGTGAAAACACAACATTGGTTTTTTCAAAAATGACAAGCAGTGTAATATTCCCGAAATGTTTATAGAAGAATAAACATTTTGAATTATGTATGCTATGTGTTGAATGGCAAATAACAATGCGATCGAAGATATGAGTGTTGTACTATTTTCATTAATCAGCTAGATGTTCACCCATGGATTGAAAATCAGTAATTGCTACTCTATATGTACCCATGGCCTAATTTACCGGACAGATAAGTCACAAAAGATACCAATGGCTTTAGCATGTATAAGACGCACTAGAAATTTTAAAAAAAATATTGAGCAAGAATAATCATGCTGCATTCGTTTTATAGGCCACGATGTATATAGCAACAGAGATTAGTCAGCTCATTATTGAACTGTCAGCAGGAAATATCAGTGCCCTTTAGCAATCATTGTAATGATTACATAAAAGTGTTCATGTCGAAGACACATTTATGAGATGTGAAACCCGTTTCCTACAACTATTTACTTTTCAAATTTTGTATGAATGGCTTGCGAGAACTCTCAATCAGTTATTTTTAGACTGCACAGTAAGTTAAATGAATTTTTTTTAGCTAATGCCTTACAAACAACAGTTACTACTTACTAGGTTTAATAATGGTATATATAAATATATATGTATATGCTTCACCTGTTTTCGTCATGTAGTGTTAAGCCAACTTGAAGTTTTAAGGATATGAATCATCAAGGAAATGAAATATATAATATTTGTTGATAATAAACAATTAACTATTTGACTAAATAAATTAACTATCCATATTGATTCAAAGTTGAACACAGTAATATCATAAAAACTACGAGTTGGTGGATTGAGGAATGATTGTTTAAATTATTCGAAAAAAACCAACAAGGAATTAATACGCCCATTTTACCCTGATTCAAAAGAGAAAAACAGTGGAATTTCGTTAAAATATGAAGTGATTATAAAGGTGTTTTGAGACGT